AGCCAAAAATGGACTCCCATCTCTGCTTGGATTGGAGAATAAAACACAACCTATTCGGGTGCTTTAAGCCTCGAGCTTTATCGCTCTGTGCAATGCATTTGTTTCTCCAACCCCGACTGGTGCTTACGTTCTGTCATTGTACGCCTGTGCCGAGCCAGACAACATGAAGGCAAGGTTAGTCCCGAGACAGTCCCACGGGATTTGGAAACTGTGCACACCCCCTGCCACTCTCTCGCTCTCTCTATCTCCTTCTCTCCCCCTGCCACCCCCCTCTCTCTCTCTCTCTCCCTGCCACCCCCTCTCTCCCCCTGCCACCCCCTCTCTCTCTCTCTTCCCCTGCCACCCCCTCTCTCTCTCCCTCTCCCCCTGCCACCCCCTCTCTCCCCCTACCACCCCCCTCTCTCCCCCTGCCACCCTCTCTCTCTCTCTCCCCCTGCCACCCTCTCTCTCTCCCTGCCACCCCCTCTCTCCCCCTGCCACCCCCCTCTCTCCCCCTGCCACCCCCTCTCTCCCCCTGCCACCCCCCTCTCTCCCCCTGCCACCCCCCTCTCTCCCCCTGCCACCCTCTCTCTCTCTCCCCCTGCCACCCCCTCTCTCCCCGTGCCACCCTCTCTCTCCCCCTGCCACCCCCTCTCTCCCCCTGCCACCCCCTCTCTCCCCCTGCCACCCTCTCTCTCTCTCTCCCCGTGCCACCTTCTCTCTCCCCCTGCCACCCGCTCTCTCCCCCTACCACCCCCTCTCTCTCTCCCCCTGCCACCCCCCTCTCTCTCTCTCTCCCTCTCTCCCCCTGCCACCCCCCTCTCTCTCTCTCCCCCTGCCACCCCCCCTCTCTCTCTCCCTCTCTCCACGCTTCTGGCCCTCCTCGCTGGTGGTTTGGTTGCCCGATAAAGCAGATGTGACGTTCAGTGCGCTGGGGCCTGGTGCTTCTACAGCAACCGCGGGAAGCGTCTCCCCAAGCGGAGTGATGCTAAGGAGGAATTGTAAGGACGGGGCTTTTACCCCTCTCTGGCAATAAAACAGGAAGTCTGTTAAGATGTTCAAACACCAAATAGATCTACTATTTTAAGGCGGTCAAGTCTGCGTTGACCACACGTACTTGTGGTAAAACGTGCAAACAAACGTGGTACATACCATCAGAGCGTGTTTGTTCATTGAAAAAAAAAGAATATGTTTCACCCTTTCTGGCAATGAAACAGTAGGTTTTAATATTATTGGTTCTTTCGGTTTTTAGTTGCTCAATCACTCAATATATACCTATTGCAAGGCGTTAAGTCTGCATTAACCACACATGCTTCTGGTAAAACATTCAAACAAACGTGGCATATGCCATCAGAGCGTGTTTTGTTTGCATGTTCTGTCACAAAGTATGTTTGGTTAATTGCAATAGGTATCTATTTGGTGTTTAAACAGCTTAGCACCTGTTTTATTGCCAGAAAGGGTATGAAGCACATTCTTATTTTTGTCATCATTTTGATACTGCCATAAATGTCCCATAGACACAAGCAGAGTCTGAACACAGAGCACATTCACGCTCAGAGACTGGAAGATCCCCCCCCCCCCCTCTCTGCCCCGTATTGGCACGGAGTGGCTGCTGCTTTAAACGCTGTGAGAGAGCATCTGTGGCACTGCGCTGCGATTGGCTCAAAGTGAATCCCTGTATCAGTGGGAGACGCAAGCTCTGCTTCCCCCTGCTCGCCTTCACCAACTTTCACCGACTAACAATGTATTATACTCTGTGATTATGTATGTTTTACTTTACCCAGGAAAGACTCACCGAGTCCCGTAACTCTGTTTCAGGAGGGTTCTGCCAAAGTTTCATCAGGAAGTGGTGCGATGATTCCTACGTATAAACTCCTTATTGAGTAAACTGCGGGGAAATATTTCAAATGAAGCGGACGGCGCGTATGTTGCGGTCAATACACTACCACAGTATAAACCAGGACGGCAGCTGGATTTCAACCGTGAACCTCTGCAACAAGCGGTAAGCACACTACCGCTAGGCCATGCGTGTCCAAGAAACCTCATCCTGCGGCGGATTGTCAAAGAGCTTCAAATTATTACTTGTAAACAATAACGCTCTCGTCATTTTTGCCGTTTTCCTCCAAGCAGCTGCCGCAAAGTCAAATGGCACAGCCACGTGAACATAAATCCCCACCCTGGGGTTGTGCACGGGTTAGCATTCACAAGCGTATCGACTTAGCTCAGTGTCCTAGGCAGGCCCCAATATAATGACTCGTGAGCATCGAGTCACCATCGTCTGTCCCTTCCGCCCACTTATTATCGATGATGGGGCCTAACAAATGGATGTCTCCTTCAGCCAGTATTCCTGCTTCACTCAATTGATTCCTTTTCGTTTCGTCAAGCTATTAACGCTGCACCTATCCACCAGGTGTTTCTGTCCTTCCCCAAATCCCGTTTCCCTTCCGCTTCCGTGTGCCAATGTCGCCAGGATGCATGATCTCGTAGCGTGTCCGGACCACCGTCCACTTCTTCCCCCCTCGACTTATTCAAGTGTCCATTCGAGCAGCTGTAATACGTTGACATCAAACGCATTTGGCTTAAATTCAGAACCCCCCCCCCCCCCCAACCAACACAGCAACTGCAGGAAACGCTCACAACACATCTCGCATGCTTCATGAAGAGCCAGCAAAGATAGCCGGGGAGACTAAAGCTTCCGAGTGCAACATGGTTTCCTTTGCTCGATTTCTTTTTTTTTAAGTCAAGTTATTATTTTTGACACTTTATATTTACAGCAGATGAGCAAAAACTATTGAAATGTAAACCCCATAAATGAAGTTTATCCTACTTGTGCCCCGGGGTGGCATTTTTATATATATCGTTAACTTTAATACAATTCGTTTTCATCCTTTTTGCAATAAAATATATTTCAATCACTCAGAATGCTTTCCAGCAGTAATAGTATAGATAATAGAGGAAATATCAACACACACACACACACATCCACGAAGGCAGCTGTATTACATCATCTCCTCGTGGATGTAGAATAACAATAATGATCCTGCTACTATATAGTCTTGGTTCTTTCGGTAAAGTCACGTAGAAGGGAAACAATAAAATAATAAAACAATAAAATAATAAAAATATAAAACAATAAAATTATCACGACGTTTCGACTGCAACACAAGCAATCATCATCAGGTGTGAAAAGCACAGCAAGAAAATTTCAAAAACCACAGCAAGAAAATTTCAAATTTTCTTTCAAATTTTCTTGCTGTGGTTTTCACACCCGATCATGATTGCTTGTGTTGCAGTCGAAACGTCGTAAGAATGTTATTGTTTTATATTTTTATTATGTTATTGTTTCCCCTCTACGTGAATTTACTGAAATAACCAAGAATATGAATCCCTGCAGTCACGAATGCATAAAAAAATCAATATTTAGATCCTGCTACTGTTTTAACAGAAAATCAAGTTTGCCCTTTGAGATGCCCGTAAATTTCCACAGGCAGCGACGCTAAATTAATTTTGTAAGCCACTCCAATTTGGCACATCACGATTACATTTCTCCACACTTGGGGGGAAAAAGGTAAACATTGTGAAATATATATATGTACACGGAGAAAATTGTGCAATGTACAAACCGAGTAAACTTGAGCTTTGCTGCGCTCTTAAGTTGTCGCCTAATCCACGAGCACCCAGGTAGTGGCGACCGCTTACAAGAGTGGAGACGCGGAGGATGAACGGGCACCTCTCTGTGCGGCGGCGGTGGCGGCAAGCCGTTACAACACGCGGAAGGAATGTGTGACGAATGAAGGCCGGCGAGGTCACACTGCCGTAAAGCAGCCCCGTCTCGGCGTCGGCACTTTGTGTTGGCTCGTAGGAGTGACAAGCCGACGGGGTTAGTGCGGGGGCGGGGGGGGGGCTACGGCACGGCATCGTCGTTTTAATGCGCTTCGTCAAGCGTGTTATCAGCTTTTTCTTCACGCGCACAAGTGGTCGGTTGTGTCCGGAGTGGGTTCCCCATCTCCGCTGCGCAATGGGAAAGCGTGCCCGTCTACCGACATTGAATATGCAGCCCCAGACGAGCGTCCTGCGATGCCACCTGCCTGCTATCTCCGAAAGAAACCACCAGTGCCGACCACAGCCGAGACATGCCGGGAGTCCAGCGTCCCCTCAACCGAACAAAGCATCGCAGACTGCTCATATTTGCCCGACGGATCCTTAAATCGGTCGTGAAAAGATCCCCTTCGACCAATTCACGCAGACTTTGGCCGATCTCGTCGAACCTCGCAGGATGCTCAGGCTTGAGCCAGGATAGCACTTGGATACGGTCTAATCGACCCAAGAGAGATGATGCATTGAGTAAACCCTAGCAGGAATTAAAACCTACCATCACGTCAATCTTGATTTGAAGCTTTCGTGACTGCAGGAATCCATACTCGTTGGTTCTTTCGGTAAAGTCACGTAGGTAGAAAAATTAATAGATCACGACGTTTCAATCGCAACACAAGCAATCGTCATCAGGTGAGACAACCACAGCAATAAAACTGATGTGGTTGTCTGCCACCACTAAGTTGGGAGTGCCGCTGCTCTGCTATTGGAGCTACAGCATTCCCCAGCCCAAGCCTCACAAAGATGCTCAAGTTCAATGAGGAAAAAAAATCACGCATAAGAATGGGTTGTGCATCACTTTCTAACACGTATTTGTCCTTGGAAGTGTTTAATTAGCTGTACGGACGCGGTAGGGTAGCGATCAGGACAACATATTTTCGCATATTTTAGCTTGGCTTATGTCTACATTTTCGCAATGATGATATTACATCATAATTACGAACTATCAGGGTTGCGCACATTGCAGGCAAGCAAACAAACGGACAGGCAGACGTAACAAAATTAACACGTTCAACCGTAGTTGAGAAGCATAACAAAAATAGTTGTTGCCAAAGTGAGAGAAAAAACACATTCTATAAGAGTCAATTTTCAAAAAGACAACTTCAAGGGCATAAGGAGCCGATGACCAAAGCGTTCCCTCTACTTACAGGCGTGGGCAGCTCTGGGATTCTGGGCAGTGGAAGTTTGGGCCGTGGGAGGGTCCGAGACGGGGGAGTCTTGAGTGAAGAAGACCCCGCACTCTCCTCTGCAGTCAAAACAACACCGACATTCATGGGCTGAACAGCTCACCATCTCGTGCAACCATCAACCACTCGCTTTAGCAAGATACACATTTTTTTCGGTGGTGGTTCAACCACCACACAAATCCCACTTTTATTCCTATTGCACACTCCCGTGTGTCTGTGTCGCGACATATTTCCGCTCAAGACTCTTGCAAGCTAGCAGTGCACCACGCCGTCAATGAGAGCGTGGGCCTGGAAGGTGGCACGAGAAGTACTGCGAGCCGCCGAGACATGCGAGTGCCCAAACAAATACAACATCAGTATCCCGTTATCCCAAACTACTTCTGGGGTCACTTTCGGTAGGCCTCTTTACCCACACGACGGGCGCACGCGCACCTTCCGTATGCCCCCCCCCCCTCCCCCCCCCCCCTCTGCAAATCAACGTTCGCTGCAAGTCGATCGAAACAACGCTTCTACATAAACTGGCATAAGCGCAAAATGTTAAAACCACATGCATTTACTTTGCGGAAGGAGGGCAGAATGCGGGGGTTGTGCAGTCATTGGACAATCTGGCTGCAAACATCTGCTCGCTCCACTTGCACTCAATCACCAGTGGGTACCCACACTCGAACGGCGCAACACCCGACTCGTGAACCGCCCAGGTCACCTTCCTCAAGATTCACCCCGATGCACGTCCATCATCACGCCGAACACAACATTGAATGTTATTTTAGTCGACGAGCCTTTGATCGTTTAAAATATGTTGACTTGCAAGTGGTTGGTAAAGAGTCGACAATTGTCTCGGTTGGCTACGTACGGTGCAAAAGTTGTTCAAGATGCATACATACAAGTGATCTTCACAATCCAAGCTAAAGTATAACCTACTGTTCTTATGGAACATTAAAATTCGCAGGTGCACGATCGCGAAACGTAATCCTTTGGGACAGTCTTAGAAAGCTGATTTATTCCGCGCTATCCGCTTGCACGAATTTATTTTTCCTCTTGAGTGCAACGCAATTTACAAAACTGCGTTCCCAGAGGGTGGGAAGCAGCACGGGTGGGTAGGTTATTCTCACATTTTATTCCTTGAGAAAATACGCCACGCCAGATGTTTTTTTTTATGAAGCTCCGGCAATGGGCAGGTAGTTACGGAACGAGACGGCATAATTCAAACAACCCCCGGAGTGCCACATTGGTTTTTATTCGTTGTAGGTTATTGTTACGACGAGCTCAATCTAAAAACATTTATACAGTTGTCACAATGTGTGCGCTCCTCGCTCAGTGCGCAAACACAGTGCAATCCCGCGGCGACAAAATCAGATAATTCAGAAACATCCAAGTCGATAGTTTTTTTTAATACTTTCTGAAGTTTAATCTTGATTTGCTGAAGTTTGTTTACATTTTGATTGGTAGTGCACTTGCCTAGCAGATGCACGTGGTTTTGAAAACCCAGGTGTGATACTTTGTAGGTCGTACTCCCTCGGAAAGAGAAGCTTCAAAGCTGACCTCTGCTCAAGCAACGTGTGCCAGACTCCCTCGACCATTTTCCCATGGCCACCGAGCGCAATTAATGGTCTAAAGATGCATCGATTCAATAATTAGACATCGATTCTCGTGCTCGCGATACCGACTCTCGCGTGAAAAATGTATTCTATATATTCGTAAAATATACGGCCAATTTGTCGATCCACTGCTGGATGAAGGCCTGCTCCATGCCTCGTCTCTCATGGAGCATGGGTGACTGTAATTCACCACGCTGGTCAGTGCAGGTGGGTTGGTGGGTTCGTGGTGAAGGACCAGTGGAGATGACACGTGCACCCTGGCTGGGAATCAAACTTACGTAGCTGGGTTTAGTGCGGTGTGCTCACCACCGTGCTACTGTTCCCACCCCCTTGCAGCCATTTGAGGCTTTACGATGTACTAGAATGGGAAAAATATATATATTCTTAAGTTGAGTCGCAAACTTGATTCATGCCAATTCATGTAATCGTGAGAAAGGATCGTTACAGGCCTGCAAATGATCTTCCCTGAAGCATACAATAAAATGCTGTCTACCTCATCCTCATAATGCACTTGAGCACACATCATTACCATTGTGCACAAAGCCGGTCACAGTACATCTCGGACGACTGGTGGAGTTGCTGCTGGGTGACCACGCATTTACACGCCCAATACCTGCGCAACTTGGTAATGGAAAGCATCCGAGAGAAAGTTCGTTGGGGAGATGGAGCAGTGCCGGGTGGATCGTTGCATCACAGGATCCTGGGAGGTGGTGATGGCGGCTTGGGAAGGCCTTCATCCAGCAGTGGATTGACCATGGCTGCCAATGATTATTATTATGATGATGATAATCATCATCACGGACACCACGGTGGTGAGATGTTAACTACCTCCCCTGATATGCAGGAGCTCATGGGTTCGATCCTGACCTCAACATCTATATATTTTGAGTTTGCATGCTTTCTCGTGGTTACATTAATTTTTCTCCGGGTTCTCCCGTTTTTTCCCACACATTTATAATCAACGTGCGTTTAGAGTATTTGGCTGCTATAGATTTCCACACGATAGGCCGCTTCGTTGGACTATCATTTGTGGCCATGTCACTTCTTGAAAAAGAGCTATAGAGCTCAGTGGGCCTTACCTGGTCTCATAAAAAAATATATAGTTTAGTTTTAGTTCATGATACCCAAGGATGCTCTCTCTCTCTTTGTTGTTATCGTGATCTTTAGACGGGCAGGCGAGCCACTTGTGTGTGCTCCAGCACCCAGGTGTTCAACGGTGGCCTCGCCGCCCAGCAGCGGAACATGTGTAAGAGGGTCACAGATTTCGGCAGCTATGCCAGGCAGGGGGCCCGGAGTTTATCCAGAAGTGGGAGTAGTATAAGCGAGACACGTGGCTGGAAAGTAACGCCACGAGATGACTGCCTTCAACGAAAATGTGTTTCTGATCGGCCGCCTTTACAAAAAATACGTCATCCGAAAATAAAAATGTGCGGGACAGGACGTAAAAGCAATAAGGTTTTTTTTTTGTTAAACCACGCCCGGGCGTGCATTCAACAAACGCTACGTGACAGACCAGTACAGTTGCCGGAGCCATTACTCAGTGATTGCAGGAAGCTACCCGATTCTGCTTACCGATCGAGTTTGCGATAACGCAGGACTGACCGCCGAAAGTACGCGCAATCATTAGTATCCTGAAGCACCGCAGCTATGCTGGATGTGCTTTATCCGATTGCAGCGGAAAATCTTCGCCAGCGCGCCAGTGCGACTTTGGGACTCGAGGCAGGTCATTGCAACGCGAACGTCGTGCGAAGGCAGCGGCGCCGCTGACGTGTTGAACCTTTTCATTGGATGCGACAACGCTTTCAGTGAAAGGCCGACGACAAGCAGAAAACCTTTTTTAATGGAAGCGGCTAAAAACCTGCTCTAAACGTACACAGATGTTAAGAAATTCTTTGATTTTTTTTTTGCCCCGCGAGCAATTCAGGTGCCATGTGCCACGCGTCTTTATCGTTGAGCTTCCCTACCGTTTGCAGAGGCGGAGGCCCTCTCCGCTATTAATGTCTTCAGGGTCGGAGAAATGCTGTTCATGTACATGTACTCGCCATCGTCTCCTGGATCAATCACACACGACGAACAAACAAACACACATGTAAGAGCTCGCTAAAACACAGCAGAAGCAGGATAAAAGCATACCAATTATGAGCACAATTCTCATATACAGCAACAGATGCTTACATCGCACTGGTGGGAAGAAGGGGAAGGGCAACTTCCGATACAAGCACACAACTTCGGATATAAGCACAGCTGGCCTCGCTCCCCATTGGGTGTGCTCATATACAGCTTCTACTGCGTGTAAACACACCGCAACGCTCGTGCACGCGTGCGCACACACGTGCACACAATGCACAGCAAAGAGCCCGTGGGAGGCGAGCAGTGTGGAAAGGAGTATGAGTTAAAACCCATTGATGAATGGGATGTATGGATTAAAAACTTAGACTCTCAAAGTATACCGCTTATTCATACATCAGCAAACGTGATGAGATGGTGGGGGGGGGGGTCCCAAAATTCGGAGACTTGGGTCTCAAAACCAGGTTCTGTCTCTTACTTCAAAGCAACATGACCAGAAATCAATAACGTGCAGTCATTTACAGGTTAGTATATCTTTAGAATAGAAAAACATCAACCTCGAGGGGGGGGGGTGGGATATCCGAAACAAAACATAAAGATACCTATTATTTAAAGGGTACTCGTTCATCCGTACGAATTGTAGGTCTCGAAATTATAGATACACTGGAATTAAACGGGCTGCGGGTCTGGTGTGGCTTTAGCCTGCGCGGGATATAAATCCACAGCATTCCACTTTGACGATGACCACGTGAAGGCAACGCGGCAGCTGCCCGTGACCCTTTCAGAGCTCGCGCAGGGAACGAGGGCTGGCAGCACGAGGCGGACACCCGTCGCGGTGCCCAACGACGACCGAGCTTGAGACGGACCACAGGTTCAGCTCTCTCTGGCTTTGTGATCGCAGCAGTTGACTGACGTTGGCCCGTCTTTGCTCACAGGGGCACAGAATGTGTCCAGTTTTTTTTCCCCCCCCAAGAAAATAATCGCAAATGATCACTGTAAAATTAAATCGTAATGGGCCACGCTTGCAGTGGCTTATTTTTGTCCTGGGCCCCTGTGTCCTAAACTCCCCTGTTAGTCCTCCTCGGGACTTCCCAGGAATGCGATGGGACTCGGCAGTGCTGGATTGAGATTGATGGCGGACCCAGGCCTTGGACATGTCGGTTCTGGGCCACATTGACACCGGCGCACCCTATGGCCTCCTTGGTCGCAGGCGGTAAACATTCTCTCGATGAAAACAGACATGATCATCGAATCCAATTATTAGGACCCCTGAATAACGGCGATCCACCTAAACGTGAGGGGGTGGGTGAGGTGGATTATCACACGCCAAATCAACGATAAATAATGACAATGGTTCCAATTTCAAATTCTTCACACGGACAAAAAGACGCGCAGGTACCAGGGAACATGGCGCGAGGCCGCCATACCGGACGACGATTTGAGCTGCTGGATGAAGGTCTGGATGAGCTGCTGCTTGCGTCGAGCGGTGGTTCCCAGCGGCTCCTGGTCGATGATCTCCAGGAAGGAGGAGAGTTCCGGCAGCAGCTGCTCCAGCACTGCCCAGGTTTCCCGCACAAGAGCACGCGCCGCCAGTTAATCAAGCGCCACGTCTTCCGTGCGAAACGTCAAACCTATGTCAACAGCTTTTTTTGTGCGGCGCATACCACGCACATTTCCCAGGTTCCCCATCGTGAATGAGACCTGTCATCACAACGGCCCGTTAGCCGGCTATAAATTGAGGGTTTGAGTGATTTATGGATTGATGGGCAATTGCCCGTGCAAAAGTATAAGCCACCGTGGAGTTCTTGGGTAATAAAAGGCACCGGAAGAAGTCGAATCGTCACCACCGCTCAAGGTAGAAGGTAGCCGTGCCATGTCTAAGAGCCAACGTTAAGTCGGTATGCATAAGTGAGAAGTTTCATGTTTTCAGGCGCTTAGACGTAATAATACTGAACGTGACCCTTCGCCGTAATGTGACTTTCATTTACGTGATGCATTCTTGGAAATTATGGCTGGTAGCTACAATGACATTTATTTGTGCTGACATATTAGCCAAACAGTGTGTATACATTTTGTTAAATTAACTCAAAACACACCTTTACAGACATGTGGTAGCTAGCAGAATGTTTTATTACACAGTATATCTACTTTATTTATAATAGAACATATTGTGTTAACAAGTATATCTCAATGTCCATAAAAGTGTTTGCCCGTATTCCCACTTATTATTATTATTACAAAAAACACATGTCAGAACCAAGTGTCCGTTCGGTTAACAAGACGTTACATTAAATATGTGGAAAAAAACCCACTGAGCACGAATGCAAAAAGGCCATGGACAAACTGACACAGAAGCTCAAGACGTCTCTCGTGCCATTAGAATGCTTGAACAGGCATGGAAGTAAGTGGCCAGTTTCCGGGAGGGCACGTTGGCATGCATCTTTTTTTTTTTACCAAAGCCATATAAAGGCCCCCCTTGTCCCTTACAGACCCGTTGGCAAACAACAACAAAAAATGGCCCACCACAACAGGCCCTCTTAAATTCTTTCAGTCTCAACACCACTGGGCGGGCGATGCATTGAATCCCTCAAACATAAAAAAACACAAAATTGTCGCACTTTATACAAACCGAATTACAATCGAGCGTTTTGATCAAAACACCACGTCCTACATTTCCCTTGATGCCCCACGCGGTACACAGAGAGCGTCCGCATTTCCGATATCCCACTCGGTCTCTCGCTCTCTCAGAGGCAGCTTTCCATTGCCGCTTTAGTGTGGCCAAGTTGACCACCAACAAAAATATTGAGCCCATATTAGGAGCACGGCAGTTACTGGTATTTATCATTATATACAGTAACAAACCATGTGGGCGGTGGGAAGAGAGATCTGATGTCCTCTGGTCTTCCGTCAACACGGGGTTTATAAGGGCATATGCTCTGTGCTCCTCCCAGAAAGGATTGATGCTGCTTGACCCACGCCTTGACCCCAGCGGTATACAGAATTCCAAAACCGTTTGCGGGAACCAATTGAAAGATCTTGAGTGAAACAAAAATGCGTATATGCGAGACAAAAACGAGCCGCACTGCTCACGAGCATATACTGGGGGAAGTTTCCCAGGAAAAGCTAAAATATTTTAAACGACGTGTTTATTTAAAATATTTACGACTGCTTGAAGTTTGGAGTACATGCGCAGGGCGCTTTGTCAATCCAGGGCCTCTCCATGCTGTGAAGAAGGTCATTCCGATTTGGTTTTACGGATGCTATGTCCATTCTAGTGGCTCAGCGGCAGAGCGAGTGGCTCGCAATCGGAAGGATGCCTGTCCAAATCTTGCCTGGGGTTTGAACCCAGCCCACCATCCCTCCGGGTCAACAAAATAGGTACCACTTTGTGGGGAAGTCAATGGTGCTTGTTGCTGTGGGTAGACTCGCCCCTGTAAATTCCCATCACTGGCTCAGGGCTCGAAAGAAGAGATGAGCACAGTCTCAATGGTCACTTGAGCAGGCGGTAACATGGACTTTTAAAATATATTTACTAGAGTGCACACACAGCTAACGCATTGGGTGTCTGGTGTGTTATGGCAGTTTAATTAATTTGTTCGTTGTTGAGCCAATGTTGGTGACGATAGTGAGCAACAAAACATCGTGGTCTGGCAGGTCACCCCAGCAATCGAGGCCATGATAGATAAACACGAGCAGACGGGTGATTAGGGCACATGGGGGTGGAAGATGACAAGACCAATCTCAGCCATAGACAGCGAGGAGATTGCATCGCACATGACCTCAACTAAATATTTACTTTGCAAAATATGTCCAAATAGAGATGCACAGGCAGTGTTTTCAAAACAACACCCTGTCACCTTATTGGTTACAATAAGTAAAAACTCGTTTTCACCGAAGAACATAAACTAGATTTTTTTGTTCCATTGTCTTGGTCCCTTTTGCAATCATTTCGAATTGTTGCCATGGGTATCGTGTGATTTGACTTGAAAAAATATTCCATTGGGAAATCTCATACAGCAGTGAGCGTCCATGTGTCAGAGAAGGGCCTGCAGAAGAGCTCTTTCAGCAGACTTAAACAAATAAATCCATGTAAGGCCATTTTATCCTCTCCACAGTAAGAGTCGCTCTCTCACACACAAAAACACTCCGCTTCGCGAGAGTTTTACGATGACAGTCAAAACAACATTTTTACATTTTCAATGCAACATCACATTTCACGTCATTTTCTTGTATGTGGTCATTGACGGCCCGGCTAAGAGCACCAACTCGCTATTCCGTACTTGATAACTAATAAATATACTTAATTAATCACGGCGGGCTGTAAACACGGATTCAAACCTAGGCTCTTTGGCAGCGCCAGCGTAATGCTCCGACCCCCTTAGACACCCGGTCGTCTTGGAAAACTTTGACGCTCAAGCAATCGGTACACAGATGATTGTAAATCGTGGAGTCAGTCTGTCAGCCATTGTCCGGAATGACAGACAACTGCCCTCTAGGCAAGTAATTAAGGGTGGTTTCTGCATGGAGACAGCGTTATCCTGTCGAGTGTTTCTCCATCTTACCCTCGCGTTGTTGTGATCTTTTCCATTCACGGAGCACTTGCACGGGTTGACCTTCCCAGGTATAAGTGGTGATTAATAGTATAAAATACACGGCGTAGTTTTTGGGATGTACCGCGCGTTGTTAGGCACAATGTCTGACGTTTCGCCGCACGTGCCGGGAGCAAAGTAATCATTTCGTAATGTTTCGCTCCAACGTGTTGAAAGCGACTTTGAGAATTGAATTCAGCACGTGAAATCGAATTATTTTTTCCCGGGGAAGCTCAACAGCACGCGGAACGAAACGTCGGACATCGTGCCGAACAGACCACAAAAAACGGGGCATGCATCGGAAACGTGTCACATTGGCTCCACATTGCAAACCCCAACGATAACTTCCGTCGGCGGTGAACATTCGCAACGCTCTTCCTAGGCAGACCTCATTGGACGCTCCGCGCACATTCACCTTTCACGCCATCTGACGCACGCACCCACAACCGGGTCCCTGGGGTTGGGAGCAGAGCGACCACCGCAAACCCACACCCCACCCCCAGACGATGACACAATTGTCCTTTCAGCAACCCCGTTTGCTTGGGGGGAGGCGGTGGCGGGGGGAGGCGCAAGAGCCTTTAATGCTCCACGTAAATCAGCTTTCAGATCATTCTCAATGCGGAAAGCAGCTGGTGGGCACATAGTGAGGAGAGACGAGCGCGTGCGCGAGATATGCTGCCCAACCGTGGTGAAGCAAATAAATAAATAACGCCCACAGAAGCGCATTGCTCGCACGTGTGCAGCTTTCGCGAGAGATCGCAAGCCGCGCTGCAGCTGTGGAGCGGGCTTCAGCGTGGGGCAATCCAGTTGGGGGGTGGGGGGGGAGGGGGCTTTATTTGCTTTGTTGGTGCTAGGGGCTGTTTTATATTTAACCAAACCTGATTTGCCATCCGTGGAGTTTTAAGGGCGCCTGTGCAAATTTACAGGCCATTTCATTCGGGACCCACACGAACGATTGAAGCGTGTATTTACACGTATAAAAGAGGTGCTGCGAAAGGTTCAGCCGTGAATTTGCTTCCTCGACGCACTGCTGGCGACAGCGCCTCCACTAGCGGAAGCTCAGTCGAGCCCCCCTCTACTCTTCCACGCTGGCGAGATGCCTCGCAAGAGTTGGCAGTACCCATGCTTTAACCCCGCCACAAGCAACAAGATGATCGACTGCGCCGACATGTTAACTAGCTTGCCTCGTGTACAGGAGGTTGTGGGTTAGATCTCGACCCTGACCCCTGTATGTGTGGAGTTTGTGTGTCTCTCTTCCCGTCGTCACGTGGATTTTTCTCCGGGTCCCGCGAATTTTTCCCTTCCACATTTGGGCAACGTGCGTTTAGAGTATTTTACAGCTAGAAATGTCCACGTGATAATCCACTTCATTGAGCTATCATTTGTGGCTGGGTCGCTTCTGAAAGAGCTACATAGCTCAGTGGGCCTTACGTTTGCTTTAGCAACCATTTGCAATGCTGGGTGGGTAGAGGTGGGATTCAAAAAGGGGGGGGGGGGTGTTTGCGGATTTAATATTTCCAAGAAAACTGGACCATTGTTTCAACTGCCAGGCTGCAAGATCGAATCTAACCGATGAACTTACGGGGCTAACCAGAACAACATTGTAGGGATATGAAATGTAAAAGAGTCTTATGTAATAATAATATATATTTTTAAGATACCAGACATTCCATTTGGTAGCATGCTGTTTGATTTTTTTTTGTTTGGGGCCACCAGGTGTAGATTTACTTTAAAAAAAACCTCTCTGCATGGTAACACATTGCATAATTTAATTCGGGACATCGGTTATAAGTTTCCTTCCAACAGCACGGTGTAGTCAGTTACAAAACAAACTTCTTCATACTCACGCCGAGGCATCAAACCATTATTCCTTGTCTGTGACCAGAGTTCATCGTGACATTGACATACTTCACGATGGTCAAACGACAATCACTGTGGATAAAAAGAACTAGCGATATTTAAAATGG